GTTTCTGGCGTGGGCTCCAGAATTTGCCTCCTGAGGGTTTCATCCTGAGGCTGACTGACAGTCTACAGTCAACGGTTCTCTCCTCAAAGGCCATTAGTACGACAATGGTGTACCATCGTGCCTTTCGCAAGTGGAAAGATTTCGCTACCAGTAAGCTTCTTTCCTGCGCCTGTCCTGCAAGTCCCTGCCATGTTGCCTTGTATTTGCAACACCTCATTGACTAGTCGCACTCTCCGTGCGTCGTAGACTCGGATTTTTACGGTATTAAATGGGCTCATACCATGGCGGGTATCCCCTCCCCTACGGATAACCCAGTTGTTGAAGCGGTTAGATGTGCTTCCAAAAGGATTTTAGGTACTAGGGTAGTTAACCGTAAGGAACCAATTTCTTCCTCGGTCATCCATGACCTTATTGGCTTAGCCGACCTTCAAAACCCCGTTCATTTACGTAATGTCACTATGTGCGTTTTGTCATTCGCTGGCTTTTTTAGGGCCTATTTACATGGGGTGGGGGACCCCGGTCTAGTGGGGTTGATTTCTTTTGTTTTCACGCTCTGGGGGCCACAAAACAAAAGAAACCTACCCCACTAGATCGGGGTCCCCCACTCCATGTAAACAGGGTCTTAGATTTGATGATGTCTCCAGAATTAGGAGGAATGATATTTTCTTTCACGAGGGTTTCATGGTCATCAAGGTTCTCAAAAGTAAGAACGACCAACTCCGTAAGGGCGATGAGGTGATTTTTTCGGAAATTCCTGGCCCTGCTTGTCCTGTCAAGCTTCTTTAGACGTACCTTGCACATTTTTCTATCCCCTCTAGCTCAAGGGATCTCATTTTTAGACCCATCTCTAGGGGGAAGAACTCCTTTAAGTTAGTTTCCCAGGACAAGCCTATTAGCTATACCACAATTACGGAGGCTTTTCGCAAAGACCTGAGAAGCGTCGGGGTTGACCCTTCCACTTTTGGTTTTCATTCCCTGCGTTCGGGAGGGGCCACTTCCGCTGCTAATAGTGGGGTTAGTGACAGGGTGTTTCAGAGGCACAGCCGCTGGAAGTCCGTTCAAGCCAAAGACACCTATGTGGATGATGACCTAGAAAAAAGGCTTTCAGTTTCCAAGTCTCTTGGGCTCTGGGAGCCTTCAGTCGCTATTTCGCCCAATACTTTGTCACTCTACCTACTTTTAAGGTTGGTTCTCGCCAAGCCGTCCCAAAATAAACTTATTTGCCTTTACATTTTGTCTGTTGATGTTGTGTAGTGGAGTCAAAATATGTTATTTCTGGCGAATGAGCCTGCGAAGAAGGTAGAAATAAATATTTTGACGGCACGAGATACAACAGGGCCTGGGTTCTAGGCCGGGTGCACCATGGGTAGCCATATCTGGGGTATATAAAGCTGCGTATATCACGTGTACGTCATCTAGGCTTCTGAACCAACCTCGAGGCCTCTCTTTGGTTTTTTCTTTATTTTTTGTTTTTTGTCTTTTTTAGGAGCAGTCTATTCTCGATTACATTGTAAAGTCCCGTAGGAAGGGCTTTGAGCTTGAGCCTTGGTTCCTACCCAGATTTCCTGCCCGCATTTTTTCCCTTCGGGATTTTTTTGTGCAGGTTTTTTCTGGCCTCCGTCTTACCGCATTCGTTTCTTTTGTAAGCGGTAGCTCAGCTCTGCTAGTTTTCAGTTTGTTTTGTTTTCCCGTTTCTTATCTTATGTACTTGTTTGGTTTTTCACAGATTGTCTAGATGTTCCTTTACTTAATATATTTACGTTAGATGTATATGAAATAAATCACTTGATTTTTATATGTTTATTTTCTATGTATGCTTAGTTCAGCTGTCCTGTGGCGAGATATGTCTAGCTTGACGCAGTTTGATTTCTTACAATGTGACAGACTTCTTGTAAGGGTTTTTAGCCATTTGTTTACCCTTGATATCGTGCCCTAACCTTTTCTGGTAGCCTAACTGGCAATTGGCCTACATGCCATGTTGGGTACGTTAGTGAACGATTCTCAGTTTTTTCCCGGCACTCAGCCTCTGTGGTCCTTCAGGCCGTTAACAAAACCAGGATCGGATTGCTTGGATCGGATCGGATCGGATCGGACTCCGGATCGGATCGGATCGGATTACGGATCGGACTAGTGTCTTCGCTTTTGGTGCAGAAGAATTATTTTGACAAAAGCTGCTTTAACAATGACACAGGTGGCTCGGAATAAGAAAGCCGAGTTCTCACAACGTGAGTCTAACCGGTTCGACTCGGATTTTTTCTTCCGAGCCGCCTGTGTCACTAATACCAAAAAAATAGTTTCTCATGTATCACCAGGCTTAAAATTCACCATCAGCTTTAAAATCATCGCAAAGAATTATTTTCAACTGAACTGCACTGGGAAATTTTCTGTTGCATAACTTCATACGATTACAATTCCAAAAAGAGGCTTGGTCACGTGACGTCTCCCGAATCGAAGATGGCGGACAGAGATGTACGTATCTCTCATTGCAATGATTTTGTTTTTCTTTTCATCTCCACTCTCTTCTGAATTGGTCTTCTTTCTCACTGAGCTTGGATTGAATGCTTCTTTTCAGAGGAGACGATTAAGAAAATCGCGGTAATAAGCAAGGTACGATAGCGACGACTTGTTGTCAATAAGCGAATGACATCTTAAATGTCACCTCCGTTCAAGTAGGCTCAGAAAATAACGAGATCACTTTACAATAAAAAAAAAGAAAAGAAACACTAAATTAGTTACAGAAGATTGTATACATACTCTTCTCTCCGCCATCTTCATTCCGGGGGATGTCACGTGACCATTTTGGCGGGAATTTAAGGCGAATTGTCAGTCCGATCCGATCCGATCCGATCCGGAGTCCGATCCGATCCACAATCCGATCCGATCCGAGCAATCCGATCCGGGTTTTGTTAACGGCCGTCCTTCAGTGTTCCCTGTCCCAGTTATTTGTTGATTAGAGTTTCATTAAGTTTCCCCAGCCTAACTGGCAGCCTAACGGGCAGCCTAACTGGCAGCTTTACTGGCAGTCTAACTGACACTAAGTCTGCGTGCTTAAATGGGGGATTCAGGTCGATATCGACCAGATATAGATGTAGTAGTTCTTTCTTTTCGTGAAAGCTAGTTTATTTACGAGTGTTGTACATTAGTTATTTACCTATTGCTGTATTTTACACGTACTTTTAAGGTTGGTTCTCGCCAAGCCGTCCCAAAATAAACTTATTTGCCGTTACATTTTGTCTGTTGATGTTGTGTAGTGGAGTCAAAATGTATATTTTCAGTCTCTTTTGTGTACCCAATGACCCATATGAATGCCCAAAAGTGGTTGTCCCTAATGATTTTCATGATAATTTTAGTTTAATGACCTGCATGTTGGCGTTAATGAAAGTATATTTTTCTCTTTGTATGTCGAATGACGCAAATGAAAAATGTTCTTGAATGTTGATTAAAATGTAAAAATCGTTATTGAATCTGATTTATGCGCAAATGTTGGTATTTTCGCGCTAATGAATGTATCTTCGCGCTGTTGGTCGCCGTTTCACGCAAATGAATGCGTATGTTCTCGTAATGAACAGCAACAGGTGTAATGAGGCTCCCTTCCGTTGTGCAGCAATTTGCATTTCAGTGATTTACCGACGCCTTCTGCAAAAGCTCTTACCAAGTGAATTATTAGAGATTTTCTTTTTTCTAATTGCCTTATGCTCATTATCAGCCTTTGACGATCGCGTTTGCAATGAAACCACGCAAAAAAACAAAAATGACAATCTTTGAATTACATGGGGGCGAACTGAATTATGTTGTTATTCCTGTTTGTTACGGCTGAGAAAACACATAAGGTTGGCTAGCACGTTATCATTCTTTTGCTACCTGAATATTGAAATTGAAAGAAAAAGGGACGAAAAATTTGATAGCCTACTAACTTTGGCCCTTATCAACCTCGAGTTTCACACTCACTCTCTAAAAAGTCATGGTGTGTCAATGTAGCCGGCGGTAGTGAACTAATATCACCCGCCGGGAGAAAATGTACTGTTGGTTTTCACATGACGTCACTAAAATTCAAACTAAAAAACTGTCGATCCTACCGAGAGTTTACTTTCACGACTTTCACGATGCACTAGAGCAACTGAAAACAAATTTTCATACAAATTTTCGCTTCAAAAGGGTTCTTGGTTTTGTGATCGGTAGAGTAAGTTTTTGCGTGACGCGGCATTTACATGACGGCCAAGAGAGCTGTCATGCACGTTAAAAAAGTGACTCATTTCTGGAAATTTTGCTATCTAAACAGTTCATGTATTAGAAAAAGAATTACTTTAATGTTTATGAGTTTCTCGAAGAATAAATTCACGCTTTTGTAGCAAAACTCGGTAACAGATGTTTCTGTTGGTTTCCGTCCGCCATGTTGAAGCTCATCCAGGCGAGCACCAGCATGGTGTCTCCATACAAATCTCTATGAGTTTGGGTAAAACATTTCCTCGGATATCTCGTATACGAAATATTCCTCTGACCTGAATCTTGGCGAGGGTCTTTGTATATGTACCTCCTTTCATTTCTTAGATTCTGGACTTTATCTATTGAAACGTTTTGATTTTTATTTTGATCTATTTTGAATGGCGTGACACTGAAAACCAGCAATAAGGATCTAAACAAAAGAAAAGCCTAAAGGCTCTTCGACTCAGCGGTGACGGGTTGAACGTTGAAGTGGAGTTATGAAGTGGAGTTATGAAGAGCTTGTTGAAGACAGGTTTTGTGACAGTCTGTTTGTTTTCTCTTTTTGTTGTTTTTTGTGGATTTAACATCCTTTTGAGCGATGATTATCACCTCCAACAGAAGCAGAAAACAGATAATAAGACTCAGATTGTTCAAGAAACCAACGGGTTATTGTTGATGTTAATTATCAGCGCTCCGTTTCATTTAAACGAAAGACAAGTCGTGCGCCAGACGTGGCTTTCCTACTTGGTCAACAATTCTAGGTCGCTCGGACCATCGAACGTGCGAGCTTTCAAAGACCCCACAGATGCGGCTAATGATTTGGTCATCCACTACTGGTTCGTTTGTGGGCACTACTACGACAACGAAAGCGATATCGAAGGAGCCGTCAGCAATGAGAGCAATGTGTACGGAGACATCTTGAGGCTCGAATACACAGAGTCATACGTATTGCTGGTCCATAAGACCTTGAGTTCTTTGCGGTTCGCTTCGAAAATGAACGTTCGATTTGTCCTCAAAATCGACGATGACGTGTATCTGCATTTTCCCAGGATGATTTGGTGGCTCAGAACTGCCTCTTTACCCGAAAAGCTGTACGGTGGCTATTTACTGACTGACAGAAAACCGATAAGGAAACCATTGCACAAATGGCATGTAAGCATGCAACAGTATAATAAAACTCACTTTCCCCCATACTGTAATGGGCCCTTTTATTTAATGTCTAAAGCTGTTGTTCTCGAAGTGCTTGAGGCTTCTTTCACCGAAGGCTCTTCAGTCGTTTCCTTCCCTTTAGAAGACGTGTTCATAGGGATATTAGCTCAGAAGATTGGTGTGAAGCCAATTCAACTCAAACACATTGGAGTTAATATAGAGATGAGGATTCCACCGAACGCGTGGAAACACTGGAAAGACAGCAACCTTATCAAGCATTATGCAGTAGGACACGGTCTCACACGCGAACAGATGTTTGGATTTCACAGCAGATATCGCAAACTGCCTGTCAATGTTTCATTTCCCGCGATCGAACCCACGCTCCAACCATAAGGACCGAGTAAGGAAGAATTGCCCGTGAAAAGAGGAAAGACCTCTTATGCATACAAGTTACCAGAGGCTGAGCCAAAGGAAATATTCACCCTGAAGTATTCGTATGTCTGATGAATAACTTCTTGTTTTCGTCTCTCAGCTTTAATTGCTCCTTGGAAATAATTCTGTTTAAGACGAGAACTATGTTTCATCAAAGTTTGGTCAAAAAACTCTACTACGCGCCGTCATATATAAGATCGCAATGTAACACATCTCCGTTATAACCTCAGCATTTTTATTGTCTCTGTGACTGGCTTAACGGTAGGCGGATTCCGTCAACAAGATATCAGTATCTATGAAGTGAAGACTTTTTT